CGATTACCGGTGTTTATTTTTGTTGATGCCGCGATTATAAATGAGAGTGACTCCTGGTTAACATGTATTAAAAGGGGTCGTGTTTAGTCACTATTTCGTGTGGTATTTTTTGACAATATTCACTCATTATGACAGTAAAATAGGGCATTCTAAGTCAATATACTGCAGTATTTCCTCTCTCAATCAGTACAAAATATGGTTAACACCCGGTCATGCATGAAAAAAAAATACCGTCATTTACCGTGAAACCGGTATAATTTTGAAAAATACCGTGATATAAATTTTTGGTCATACCGCCCAGCACTAGTTTTAGGTATAGTTGTGTTATCTTATCATATGAACATGTGATGTTGCAGCCCTCTCACAGGCTTGTTTTACCGCACTCTTACGTTCCTGGAGCATGACATCAAGCCTGTCTTTGTACTTGATGGCAGACCACCTAATCAAAAGAGAGCTGTGGTGAGATGTGTACTAATACAGTTATTTAGTAATCATATACATATAATTATTGTGTAATTATTTTGTATGTAATAATATATCATATAATTGTAATCTAGCTGGAGAAAAGAGCTCAAAGCACAGGCTGGAACAGCTTACAGAGCTCCAACACAGGTGTGTGCAGTTGTATTGTAAATATGTGGTGAAAAGAAAATCCAGTGAAACAGTAATATTGTGAAAAATGTTACATTTTTTTCTATTTTAATTAGTGCTGTCAAACGATTAATCACAATTAATCGCATTCAAAATAAAAGTTTTTGTTTACATAATATTTGTGTGTTCTGTGTATATTTATTATGTATATATAAATACACACACAAACAGTATATATTTTGAAAATATTTCCATGTATATATTTATATTAATATAATTGATATTATATATAAATATTTCAAATGTATAAACATAACATATTTTTCTTAAATATATACTGTATGTGTGTGTATTTATATATACATAATAAATATACACAGTACACACACATTTATTATGTAAACAAAAACTTTTATTTTGGATGAGATTAATCGCGATTAATCATTTTACAGCACTAATTTTATTATGTTTTAAATGTAATTTATTCCTTTGATTGTAAAGCTTAATTTTCAGCAGCCATCACTCCAGTCGTCAGCGTCACATGATCCCTCAGAAATCATTCTAATATGCTGCTCATGAAACATTTCTTATTATTACTGTCGTGCTGCTTAATATTTTTGTGAAAAGTGATACTTTTTCATGAATATTGAATAGAAAGTTCAAAAGAATAGCATTTATTTGAAGTAGAAATCTTTTGCGACATTATAAAGGCCTTTTCTGTTATTAAAAGTATTCTGTATTGTATTGTTTCACACTGTTTCAGCTGATCATTATTTCTAGTGTGCTGGTGAATATGGCATTTATGTACACTATTTTGTACTTTAGTGTCCAACTTTAAACAGGACTGTCTGCGTCTCCTGCAACTCATGGGTGTGCCATGCATCAAGGTATTTTAATTTAGTTACATTTATACAAATAAATCCTCACTCATATTAAAGCTGCAGTCCGTAACTTTTTTGGTTAAAAATGATCCGAAATCAATATTTGAGCAAGTACATAACCAGCCAGTGTTCGAAACTATCGCCTTACTTTAGCCCGATTCACAACGGTTAGCTTATAATAATGTTTTCTAATTTGAGTGGTACGGGTAGGTTTTCGCGGGAAATTCGAGCATGGCACTGCGTCATTACGTCACGTCTGTAAACATAAAGAAGTTGTCCCGGCTACTGATTAGACTGTAGTACAGAAATTGAAATCTACTCGCTTATACACACTATACTCAACGCAATGCTGATGTTGTTAACATTAACAATTTGAGAATAAAGTATAACAATAATAATAATTTGCACGGTTTGATGAGCTAATTTAGATTAAATCGCCATTGGTAGCGCGATTTATTGTAAATCTTTTTTCCTCAGTTGGTCAGAACAAACGTGGCAGACTTGTTACTTACTTGTTCAGATGACAATATCCGGTGAAAATGCTTATTCCAAGACGTAGGCTAGAATCTGTGAGTGCAAAGTACAATATCCACACCGGTGCTGTGGCTGACAGCCAAAGTACTCCTCAAAACATTAGATTCATCCGCGCTGGAGCCGTGCCGCCGCACAACCCACGCAAGGAAGATAATTCCGCACACAGCTGCAATTGCAGGTTTTCAAACAGAGATGGCGACAAAGAGGCAAAACTTACGGACTGCAGCTTTAATTTGAGAGGTTCTTGTTTGATTTATTTTGACTTTCTTGTCACCGTGAATGTCAGGCTCCAGGTGAAGCAGAGGCGCTGTGTGCCCACCTGGTCAAAAGTGGCACAGTTAATGCTGTAGCTTCAGAGGATATGGACACTCTGGCGTTTGGAGGGACTGTTCTGCTCCGCCAGCTCAATGCAAAGAGAGACAGGTGAAAAAGTAGTCTGATTGTAGATCTTGCCGGAGAACATTAGCAATGATATTGTTTTAGTTGTCACATTAAAGTATAAAACATGCTTTGGTTACTCTTTATTTTAAGGTGTCCTTGTTACAGTGTGTTTATACCATAGACTGTATAAAAACATGGACGTAGTGTCCGTGAC